CATTCCAGGAGGTGATGGTGTCACATTCTTCCTCAGGAGCATTTTACAAGGTGGCAGATAGATGCTAACAATTCTCTGGCTTCTCCTGAATGTGCCAATGTATCTCTCTGACTGGTTTTGCCAGTCACAGCACCCTTATTCCAGGAAAAGCAGCTCTGACCTTTCTCTAAGTCCAAGGACAAAAAGAAACTAGGCAGACAGCACATTAAAAACCAGGCAGAAAAAAAAAAAAATCTCCACCAGTGTGGAGATTTTTTTCTTTGTGCTGTCCTTGGGGTGTTTTTTAAAATAGTGAATAGGTATTACTTTTCCAAAGAGAAAGCGCACACGATTTTTTTGTTTTTATTCAGGCAGAAGTTAACAGGGAGGTTAATTGCTTCATCTTCCTGCTGTTATCTTTTCTGCTGCCTTGAGAATCTAAATTGTGAACAAGGAAGAGTAGCCAGAAAAGGCCGGCAACTGTGGACAGGCAGGACACCGTTAGCTGACCCAGGCCGCGGAGAGCTCAGGCCTGAGCGCCAGAAGATGCTCACTTAGAGGAGATGACTGGGACAGCCTGTCCTCTCACCTGAGGTCACCTGTAAGTCAGCACATGACAAACATTTCCCCTCCTCATCTGCTTGTGCCTGCATGGGACTGTCCATGGCCTGCCTCTGCCCCTCTGCTTTACCCATTCACACTTGTCATGAGTTGAGTGTTCAGGACAGGACATCCACCCTATGGTTTATGGCCAACCAGTGGTTCTAGCATTTTGCCCAGTAAATCATTATCTAATTCTTACAAATCCAGTGACAGATCTTCTAGGACCCAGAGCAGTGAGGAAGAATGGCTACCCTTTATAGAGTACTCTCAATAGGCCAGGATCTCCACATACCTTCAATCATCCATTCATTCTGCAAATGCCTATTGACTTCCTGCTACAGGCCAGGCATTGTGCTCTGCTTGGTGCTAGAGATACAACATTGAATAATATAGACAACCCCCTACCCTTGCAGGGTTAATAGACCTTATCACAGATCCTCTCAAGGAATCCGTGTGGTGGATATTATTATTCCCATTTTACAGATGAGAAAACTGAGGCTTAGAGAGATTAAATAACTTGTCTAAGGTTATACAGCCAGAAAGGAACAGAGCCAAGATTTGAACCCAGACCCTATTTTAACTCCAAAATCTGTGCACTTTCTACTGTACCACATCATTTCTTAGCAAACACAGGACAGTGGGTCCCTAGGCCCTGCATTTTGGGAGCTTTGCTCACTAAATTTAACATATTGGAAAGTATGTCCTAAATGTTTTTGTGCCTGGTGCCTAGCACAACATCTGTTGCATAACAGATGCCTAATAATTAGGTAAATTAGTTAATATATTAATTCACTGTGAGCCTCTGGACAGCTCACCTGCCTTTCCCATCTTCCTCTCTAGTCACCCCTCTCTCTCCTTCTCGACCAAACCTTTAGACTTGCCTGCACTCTCTACATCAGCACTCTCTACATCAGCTTCCACACGTGCCAGTCACTCCTCACCCCACCAGAAATGCTCCCTGCAAGACAGCCTGTAAATCCAGCGGGCACCTTTCCGTGCTCCTCTTACTTGTCTTTTCAGTTACATGTGACTCTTTGAATTCCGTTGCCCTGGCTGCCAGGACTCCAGCTTTCCTCCTGCTCCTCAGGCTGTCCTCCTGGGTTCCCCTTCAGTTCCATTGCTCCTCGATAAACACAGGTTCCGCAAGGGCCCAGCACAGGCTCTAAATTCTCCTCTCCACACTGTCCCTGGCCAACCAGGGACACTCACACTCGCCTCTCTCAAATCTCTGCCCAGGCCTCTTGCCCAACATTTAGACCGTGAACTTGAACTCAAGTCTCCCTCCCACAAAGCTGTCTTTCTTGTGTCACATACAAGAATCAGTGACCTTTATCACCCAGACATGGAAGCCTTCTCCTTTTCGCTCACCTCTGCATCCATCCAACCCCAAACCCTGTCAATTCTACTCCTCAGTGATGGCTTCACCACTGCGTCCTACAATCCCTTCCACAGCCACCGACCGATCCCATTTCATTTAGTGAGTTGTCCTCCTTCAGTCCAGCCTCCATCCTGAGGCTGGAAGAAGCTTTCAATAACTGCAGGTCTGATTATCACTCTTCTGCTTTAAATTGTCCTAGTGGGTTTCCCTTGATTCCCACTCGTTACCATGGCTGATAGGACTGTCCATGATCCAGCCCCTGCCCACCTTTCTGGCTTCCTTTCCTTCCACCCTCCGCCCCCATCCAGTGTGCTGTGCTCTGACTGTACTGAAACAGATTGCAGTTCCCGCACCGTGCCAAATTCTCCACCCTGGTACATCTTTGTACTGGCTGTTCCCTCTACTTGGAAAGCCTTCCCTGACCCCCTTATCCTTCAACTTTCAGTTCAGGGGTGATCTCCTATGGGAAGATTTCCCTCAACCTTCAACCCTAGATTTAGGGCGTGTCCTGGGGCTCCCGTGCTCCCCATGCATTCCTTTCTCGCAGCCTCTTGCACACTGTGCTGTAAGACTGTCTTGTTAGACTTTAAGGTCCTTAAGGGCATGGACTGTCTTCCTCATTTTTGTGCTTGCTGTCCCTCATACTGCCCCAGTATATGAAACTTGGTATATAGAAAATGCTGGGTGGTAGGATGGGTAGGAAGGAGTAGGTGGATGGGTAGGTATGGATGAACATGTGGATGATCAAAACTGAGATAGATGTGGCATTAAAGAAGTTGTCTGTCCGCACCACTCCCCCAGCTCCCCATCCTCAGGAATGGAAAGTGTAACCATGCAAAATGGCTCAAAGCCCTGTGCTAAGCAAAGTTCCACAAGCTACCTGAGAAAATCACATGGCACAGATGGAGAAACAAAACAAATGGTGTTTAATAACCAGTCACAGTTTTTAAAAGTAATATGTCTAGGTTGGCATGAAAAGAAATTCAGAAAATGCTGACTTTTATTTAAAGTCATATCCTCATATACATTGTACTGGTCTGCAGAGAGCAGAGTTCTCACCCAACAAATGACCCAAGTGTTCCATCAGGTACAATTCATGCTACTCTGCACCAGGACACAGGATCCTGACAATGGGGAATCTTCTAAAAAAAAAAAAAAAAAAAATCTAAGGAAAAAACAAACTAGTGTGTTGGAAAAAGAAAAATGTTTCAAAATCATAACTGAGATCTGTACTGAAGGCCTGAAAATTGAGGAAACCACCAGTTGCAACCATTATAATATAAATGAGAGTACTAAGTCCCTACCAGGTAGGAGGTTCAGTGCCTCCCACCAGAACTCAGCACTCCCGTGACAGCCACCCACATACCTCCTTGTTCCTCTGACCCTGATGGCAACCCCAGGAGAAGGGCAGGACAGGGATTTTTATCCCGGGGAAACAGATAGGGGAAATGAGTGGAAGGTGAGGAGAGGGCCCCCAGCTCAGGGAACGCTGATGCCAAGTTCTCTTTCTCAGCACCAATTTTGGGCAATTTGTATGGAAGTTGCCAGAGGCAACCGCCGGAGAATATCTGCAGGAAATAGAGTCTGCCATTTTCTCTGTCTGATAAAGATGTCCCCACTTGAGAGCTGCCTTCCTTTTCTCATCTTCTCCTTTGTTTTCTTTCTCTCATTTCCACTCTCCTCACTCACGACACTCCAGCTACTCTGGCAAATTTTGTTTCTAGCACACAGGAAGGTGAATCTTAGTTCAAGGCTCTTGTGTCTGCTGTTTCCTATGCCTGGAAGGCTTTCTATGAGGAACTCTGCCTAACCTTTCGTGTCCCTGTTCAGATGGTAGTTCCCTAGAGACGCCTTCCTTGTACACATTTGCTAAGTCGCCTGACAACCTCCCCCACCAGCCAACTCTCTTCTGTCCCATCACCCTATGTTGTTTCTGCAGGATAGGCCCTGCCTCTGGAAGGATCAGTGAGGCTTCGTGCAAATTTAACGTGGCCCCTGTAACTCAGATATTGTCATCTGCAACTGGATTTTCTCTTAGAAAGGATTTTGTGTTCTAAAAGTGTTCACCTTTTTATGTCCTAGACAATGATGCCTCTCTCTCTGCCATGAGTCCCGACAGTGCTGACATCCTTCTCTGTCCTTAGATAAATAAACGCTGTTTGATTTATCCAAGCATGGTCAGAGCCAGGTCTTTCAAGTAACACAATCGTACTGCTGACGTTTGAGTACAGTGGTTGAGCAACGTATCATTATGCTGAGGCTATTAACAGCTGTCCCTCAATATTTGTTCTCTTCTTCCTTCATTTAAAAAAAAATTTTTTTTTTAGCTAGGTACACGTTATTCAGTATAAAGACTATATTTCCCAGACTGCTTTGCTTCTAAGATGGTCATATGACCAAGTACTGGCCAAGGGGATGTGAAATAAGTGATGTGTGAAACTTTCAGGTCATTTCCTTAAAAGGAAGGGGAGTGGCCTCCATTTCCTCTTTCCCCTTCCCACTTGCCTGAATGTAAACTAGAGGAGATGATGATCCATCTTTAACCTTATGGATGACCACAGATCTATTAATAGTAGTAGCAGATCAGCTATTACTAGGTCTGTGGTCAGCCACAAGGTGCTAATTCAGCCCCAGACTGCTCACTCCCAGATTGTAGTAGGAGAAAGAAATGAAATTCTCTCTTGCTTAAGTCATTGCTATTTGGGTCTCTCTGCTATAGCAGCCAACCTGTAATCTAACCAACAGAATCTGAAATTATCATATTTGTTTATTTATTGTATATTGTTCTCTATGGCCTCTAGAAAACAAATTCTAAGAGGGCAGAAACCTTTACTCTTAACCACCACTGTATCCCTGGAACTTGGAACAGTGCCTGGTAGATAATAAGGACACATTAAACAATAAGTAATAATTAGACAATAAATAAATATTTGCTACATGAGTGAATAAATGAAAGTATAAATGAGTCATTTCTTTTCTTGTTTTTAATTTTAAGAAATTCTGTTTTTCTTTTTCTTTTTTCATTTAACCACAACCAAAGCTTATGAGTCATTTGTTTTCATTGGCTGACTTTATGCACAGCTTTTGCTTTTCCTATGCCTTTCTGGCTCTCTCTTTTAGTTCATCTGCCCTGTGATAACAGACTGCCCAGGACTGGAGGGCTTGCATCTCTTCCCGCATATGCCGCTGACCTTAATGTGGAAAGTGAAGTTTTCTAGCTCAGAGGTCTTAACTTTTCCTTAGTGCTTTATATACCCAAATAAGTTTAGAAAGGCCTTTTGACACGAGGTCACACTTCAAAGAAACCCACCTGGGATATCCACTAGCATCTGCTCCCTCCCTGGGTTACCACCACGGTGCTCAGTCTCTTCCCTTTCATGATGAAATATCAATACATGAAAAACAGGGGGTTATCAACTATGCAATCTGTCAGATTTTTCTCTTTATTTCCTAGGTGTCCTGCAGTAACTTGAGGGCTGTCTTGGGGTGACTTGAGGCTGAGTCTGAAAACACATCAGGCTTGGTCCAATAGAGCAGCAAGGTCCAATAGAAATATAAAGCGGGCCACAAATGCAAGCCATATGTATAATGATTTTAAATTGTATAACCATATATTATTACCAAATGAGTAACCATATCTCATTTTAAAAGTGAAATTAATTTTAATAATATACTTAACTTACATTCAAAATATCATTTTTGTATGTAATCAGTATAAAAATTAATAACATATTTTACATTCTTTTTCTCTACTAAGTCTTTGAAATCCCATATGTACTTTACACTTACAGCACATCTCAATTTAGAATAACCACATTTCAAGTGTTTATAAGTTCAAGTGCTTGCTAGCTACATATAAGTTCAAAATGCTAACTCGCCACAAGTAAGTTCAAGTGCTTAAGTGAGCTGTAAGTTCATGTGCTTACTAGCCACATGTGGTTAGTGACTATCACATTGGACAGCATAGGTCTAGCGGAAAAGGCGTTAAATAAGACTGCATTCAAGTTCTGTCCTAAGCCAATTCCCAAGGTACTCCGATCTTCAGTTTCTTCATTTTTAAAATGGGGCTAATTACACCTGCTTCACAATGTTTTAGGGAGGAATTATAGAGCTACTATAAGTGAAAATGTTAAGTATAGGACAATATGTTTTTTGTAAAAAATAAAAGCAGGTTCTAGCACACTGTTTCTCTGCTACTCTTCTCCATTAATATCAGAGTTATTCGGCAAGATAAGGCAAGAAGGAGGAAAAGAACTCACCTTCTTGGTCAATGGATAAATCCTATTTGACTCCTTCTCAGACCTAAGGAGGAATTTGGCTGGGGGGACCGAATAAATAAATAAATAAATCATTATTATTTCATTATTTATTATAATGTAATAATACTAGAAATAAAGTTCACAATAAATGTAATATGCTTGAATCATCCTGAAAAATCCCAACCCCCGCCCCATTCCATGGAAAAATTGTCTTTCATGAAAATGATCCCTGGTGCCAAAAAGGTTGGGGACTGCTGCATAGTGACAGCTACATTGTATTACAAACCATTAAACAGTGAATCTGGCTCATCTCCTCTGGGCTCCCAGTGGTGTTGACCATGACACGGGCTGTCCTCACACTGTGCTCAGGTGAAGAGGGAAGATGTCAGGCACCGACTTGAGAAAAGGATGAGAAAAACATAGAATCACTTTTGTTATATAAGGAAACATAACAATGTAGCATATACACAAACATTTTCTGATTTGGATACCATATTTCATTGGTGTATACCAGGTTATTTTTAATATTGTTATATTAGTTATCTATTGCTGTATAACAAGTTATTCTAAAACTTGGCAGCTTAAAGCAATAAACATTTCTTATTACCCCATAGGTTCTGTAGGTTAGAAATACAGAAGTGGCTTAGCTGAGGTGTTCTGTCTCAAGGTTTCTTATAATACTGCTGTCAAAATGTCAGACAGACTGTGGTCATCTGAAGGCTTTACAGGGGCTGGAAGATCCACTTCCAAGATGATTCACTCATGTGGCTATTGACAGGAGGCCTCAGTTTCTCACCATGTGGAGCTCTTCATAGAGCAGGTTGACTGTCCTCATCACTTCCCCGCCCTAGGCTTCTCCTAGAATGAGCAATCCAGGAGAGCAAGGCAGAAGCCACGGTGTCTTTTATGACCTAGGCTCAGAAGTCACATTCCACCATTTCTGCAACATCCTCAGCCCTGTTCAACATGGGAGGGAACTACACAAAAGTATGAATGCCAGGATTCTGCAGGACCGTCTTGGAGGCCAACTGCCACAATTGTCAACCAATGATAGTTGGAAATAAGGGCTCTCATTTATTTTTTTCAGGATGATTAATCCTGGGAAAGAGTTTCTAGTCTGTTTCTAACACACACACATACCATCTTATTATTGGTCATTTGTATCATGACTTACACTGAATTTAGATCTTATGTGATAAGAAGAGGGCTCAGTCTGTAACCCCTTTTCAAGGCTCCTTCCTGGGACCCTAGAAATTGCTTGTATTTTTCCCTTAGGCTCCTGTTCATCCCCAGCCCTTCCCCTCCCCCATCAGTTCATGGGCCTCAGACACTGAAGAAGCCTCGGCCACAGAGCTCGCCCAGGCCACCACACAAGGAAGATTATGTGATTTGGTTTGCAGCACGTTAGGTTTGAGATTATGGAGAATTGTCGAAGTGGAGTTGACCAGGAAGCACATAGAGACACACAGCACTGCCCTCCTGCTGAAACAAAAGAACTGAAATCAAAAGCATAAACAGAATAGTCTCTGTTCTTTCAAACTCTATGAATGGATGTGCTCTCTTAAGGAGGGAGGAACAAGACTGAAAAACCAAAGGAATCAGAGAGCTCAGAAAAGGAGTGGCTAGATATTTCCAAATATCATCAGCTTTCCAAAACTAACTCTTATATCCCTAGAGCCAAATATATATATATATATATATTTCTTTTCCCCCCCAGAACTTGGAAGTCCCCTTCTCTTTCCATTCATTTCCATTTTCTTTAAAAAGTCACCAAATCCTGCCATTCCTCTTTTGAAGGCTCTCTGACATCAGTTCTCTCCTGTCACTTGCCATAGTCTGGAGACCCTTGGGACGCCAATCCCTCCCCCACCTCACACAGGCTGCAACAGCAGACCAGCTGTGCTCCTCAAATTAGTCACAGAATTACGATACTTGGTGGGTCTGTCCCCTCTGCCATCTCTGGCCACCCTGGTACCAGCCTGAGGTTTTCTCCAGGGCCTTCCCTGCAGGATCCCGGCTGGCTTTCTTCCTAGTGACCTCTAGATCACTGGCCTTGCTCCCCTGGCCACAAAGAACCTTTCCCTCTTGCTCTGCTTCTCCAAAAACTGATAAACTGGGAATGTACCTCTTGCCTGCCTTGAGCCTGGCTCAGCCCTGCCTGTAAATGACTTGGCTGGGCACTGCCCAAGCCGGGACATAGGACTTAGACATCTGCTGCCATGACCACCATAATGCTTCCCTCTAAATGGGCTTCAGCCATTGTCCTCTGCTTGTCCCAACTGCACCCTTAAAATGCAAATACTCCTGCCATTATTTGTAGTGTGATTCAGCAGGTCTTGGATTCAGCAGGACCTGGGCATCGACATGTTTAAGCGGCACCCACACAGATTGTGGAGCACACTCTGAACAACACTGTTCTCAAACCACAGTGTGACCTTGTTTCTCTAATGCTTTCCTCCTGTGGTGGCTGAGTCTGCTGCAGAGATCCTGGGGCACCGAGCGATGGCAGCTCTGCCCCTGCACACACACTCGCACGCTCAGCCACATGCGCGCGCACACGGGAACACAGGCACACGCACATGAACAGCTGCTGGGCGGTGTCGTCGTTCCGCCTGGTCAGACCCCAGACCACCAGCCTGCCTCTTGGGCCCCCAAACCTTCAAAAATACCAGGTAGGTCACAGCCCTGTCCTCCCACAGACAAAAACATAGTTCAGAGACAGTCATCAAATTCCTGCCTGAGGATACGTGTCTCTGGGCTGATTCAATAAACACAGTTTAATTAAATTAAAGGAGGATCAGAACCTGCCTAAACCCTGCTGGCAGCCAGAGGCGTCTCTTATGAATCTTTCATTTTCATAAATGAATGATGGTTCACCTGCTTAGGGGTTTGCTCTGAAGGAAGAAACGGCTCCCTCTGGTCAGAGGAAAGCATTTATGGGGTATTTTTATTTAGGGGACCAGTAGGCTTTGGAAGCTTTTTGTGCTTTTGAGGGGGGAAGTAAGCATCGTACCCTGTCTCTGAGCACAGGATGAGTAGGACTGAGGCTGCTTTCCTAACGCCTGAGGGTTGTGAGAGCCCCAGGGTGGCTGACCAGACATGGGAGAGAGAGACAGAGAGGACAGAAACAGAGAGACAGAGACAGAGAAGGAGGTGGAGAGAGAGACATGCATACAGGGAGACAGAGAGACAGAAACAGGACAGAGACAGACACACAGACAAGAAAGACACAAACTAAGACACAGACAGAGAGAGACACAAGGCACTAGTAAAACCGAAAACTCAGCCGCAGTTGAGAGTATTACAAACATGTTTAGGAAATTCCGAGACGCAGACTTTGAATGGTCTTGGTTGGTGCCAGGAGTCAGCAAGGAGAAAAAAAAAAAAAAAGCACCTGTTCTCGATAATTTTCTCAGGGGAGGAACGGAAGAGATAAAGAAAAAGCAACTGTGTAAACCTTATGGAACAAGTAGAATTTCTCTGCTCAGCAGAGCAAAGTCCTTGTCTGCCCCCACAAGGCCTGCCTCGGGGCCGTGGGAAAGATCCGCTAGGTATGGCAGTGGGCCAGCGAGGCCCAGGGCGCTCCCTGAGAACCTGGTTCGTGGTTGCTGTGTTATTCACCTGTGCTGGACAGGAGGCGATGGAGGAACAGCACAGACACCACTGCCCTAGGGAGACCTCTCAAATGGTGAGCCTCATGCCTGCCCCCGACCTGTGCCTTGTCTAAAAATTAGCCTGGGAGTGGCACTGTGTGAAACAGCCCAGTCTCTAGTGGGCCAGAGCCCATCACACAGTTGGGGCGGGGGCAGTCTCTCCTGTCTCTTCCTCTCCCTCCAGGGACTTGCCTCTTCAGCCCTATTGGTCTCTTCCAGCAGGCTGGCAAGGGAAGGACAGAGATGAAATGCACATTTTGCAAGTTCCACTGGAAAGTCTTTGGGGAAGGAAGTTGAAACTAATGTGCATGCTGTGGCTTCCATTAGCCCAGAAATGTGAGAGGGGGCTGTGCAATCTATCACTGTCCTCTGTGCATGCTGGTGACACTGCTGACGATGGCATTTTCTGACTTCAAACTTACCCTCATCAGCAGGACTTTAGCTCCGATTTTTTCCAGAACTGATGGCTTATATCACCTTCCAGACTCTTCAAGCTTCACCATGGCTGCCCACTTAGCTCATCTCTCATCTCCCCCTACCACAACAGCTGGGTAGACTTTGCTGTCCCTATAACCCTATAACCCCACTCACCTGTTCCCTCTCCCAAGCCCCAACCTGAGCCTTATCCCAGCCTGGAATATTTCCCCATTCGCGTTCTGACAAGTAGCAGAGGTCCTTTTTGACATTCTGATCAAGCGTTCCCTACACAGTGAAGCCTTCCAGACTGCCTCTCCAGCTCCATTCACTCTGGCCCCCTCGGAGACCCCAGGTTGTGAATATGCACTATTGCATATTGAGAATATGCAAATGAGAATATGCACCATAAACCGAGGGGCCTGCCACCAGTTCCAGGGAACGTCATCGTGTGCCATGGCTTTGAGCACATTAAAGAGTCATTTAAAACACAAAGGACGTAGGGCTTCTAGTTCAAAGTGACAGATGCAGTTCTTGGGTTTATCCCCTCTCTCTACAAAGAATCGGGAGACTTAAGATTTCAAAATCTTTCTGTAACACACAAAGCAGATGGAGGAATGTCAAATAGGAAGTGCAGAAGAGGCTGCCAAGGAGGTAAAGAAAATGGAGGGTGGGCGTGAGAATGAGAGTGGAGACAGGGCCACTCCCGGAAAGCCTGTGTGTAGAATAATCCCCTGATATTTCCCTTCGGCACCCCTGCTTGCAAAACCTTGTGCAGCCAGCTGTTTACATCCAAGCCCACAGGAATAAAAAGCCTAAAATAAAGCTGAAATTTTGTCTCCTCAAAAAATGCAAATGGACTTTCTGAGGAGAATCGGGGCCTCTAGTGTGGGGTTACTGTTTGCCACAGTAAACCCTTCTCAACCAGACATTCGGAGACCCTTCTAAGGAACGAGTGGCTGATTCCACTCACTGTAAAGGCAAGTCCCCTACCACCGTCAACCAGACTCACTCCTCAACATAGGGCCTTTTGGGCGTCTTTCCGTTGTCTCATTCTTAAACATCCAAGATCACCTGACTGTTGGGAAGAGCTCGAAACATGAAATGGAAAGACTAAGGGAAATAAAAGATAAAATGACCTTTGAGGGAAAATAAAGAATAGAAAAGAATTAAAGTGAAAAAACTCTAAGATGGATTTCCAGAGAGTTATGAAAAGATGTTATATATACAAATGTAGAAGATAGACCATGAGAGAAAAAGAAAAATTTTTAGAAAGTAAGACTATGAGTGCTAAAAGTTTTTAAAATTAATTTTAAAAGTTGAAAGATT